GCCACTGCCCTCCTCTTCGCTGACGACCACCCTGGAAGTAATACGGGGGTCCTGCTGGGGGTGTTTTCTTCCTGGGCAAAACCAGCGGGTTTAAAACCCTCTGCAAAATATATTTTTGCATAGTTGTAAGGCAAAAATTCGGAATGCATTTACTTCCCACCTCTATGGTGCACATCTTATCATGTCCATTTGGTAAATTACTCCTCAGCTCTTGGGGCTGAAATGGGAAAAACACCTAGTTAAGCTTTCTTGTGGCCTACCCCAAAATCAAGGCTTATTGGCTGACAGGACTACAAGAAGATGCAACTCAAAAGTACGTGATGCCAATCTCCAAACAATTTACCTTTCCTTCTTTGCATGTTCTGTTGGGTGACAAAGCAGAAGTGGATAGAAAAAAACAGAGGCACCGTAAGAGGATGAAGAAAGATCCAAGAGTCTGTTTACAATTACAAAGTCTCCCCCTTCCCATCCAAAATACCAATCCAAACCCCCAGTTTCAAGATAACCCTTATAAACTGAGTACATAGATCTGTTGGAGTAGGTCCAGAGGAGGCCCATGAAGATGATCAGAGGGCTGGAACACCTCCCCTGTGAGGACAGGCTGAGAGAGTTGGGGTTATTCAGCCTAGAGAAGACTCTAGAGAGACCTCATTGTGGCCTTCCTGTATCTGAAGGTGCCCTGCAAGAAAGCTGAGGAGGGACTGTTTACAAGAGCTTGTAGTGCTAGGACAAGGCATAATGGCTTCAAACTGGAAGAGGGTAGATTTAGATTGGAAATGAGGAAGAAGTTCTTCACTGTGAGGGTGGTGAGGCACTGGAATGGGTTGCCCAGGGAAGTTGTGGATCATTGGATGTGTTCAAGGTCAGGTTGGATGGAACCTTGTGCAGCCTGGTCTTGGTGGGAGGTGGCCCTGCCTATGGCAGGGGTGTTGGAAATAGGTGACTGTAAAGAGAATGCAGTTAATGACAAAGTCTGAGTCACCAAGTACACCCTGCAGCTGTGTGCCTGGAAGCCCTAGACCCAGCACTGGGTGAGGTGCTAAGCACTGGGCGAGTGTGGCAACCATCACCAGATGGATATCTGGTGTTATCTGGGTGCCAGGAGGTCTCGTCGTCCCAGTCTTCTGATGGCTTAAGCCC